CTCATAAAGTTCTGAGAATTTTTTCAGAATTTTTTATCAACTTTTTAGTACTGCATTTTTTTATTTTTACCAACATGAGAAAATACGGTATTAAAAAATTCTGAAAAAATTCTCAGAACTTTATGAGAAGAAAATAAATCATTTTTGTCTCTTGCAGTTTATCTGGAAAATTGATAGTATTTGAGTAAAAAATTATTCAAGACCAATATTTTGCAATTTTTAGTAATTTATATCTTGTTAACTATTGCGAAAATTGCAAAATGGTAGAGAACTTTTCGACTCAGTTTAGTCCGCTCTATCTGCACAAAAGTGATTGGCAAAAAAGGTCATCGGGACACCCTGTATATTATGATCAATATAAAATATATATATAATATATGACTCTTCTTAGTATCTTTGTTATAATTATATGTGGTGAATTCTAATGATTACTGTATCGAATTATTTATTCAATAATTTCATAATTCGTTATATCATGTACGACATTGCATGATGTTAATATGTCAATACACAATTTCCAGAATTTATTACAACGTATTTTTATTTTCAAGCATTTTGTTTTTTAATATAACTTTTTAGCAAATTTAATCAAAGTTGGGAACGTTATTTTTTAAAATAAATTAATAATTGTATTTCCGTTATACTTAGAAAAATATGACGATGGTTGTTACTTTTTGTAATTAAAGTAATAAGATATTAGATTGAAAAAAATTACATTTTATTCAATAATCCGTATGAATTATAACAATAAATATAAATTTTAAAACTTTAAGCTAGTTTTTATAATTTATTCCATATGTTCATTTTTTAATATTACATCAATCTCAATAATCTTTTAACCTTCCAACTTTTAATTATGCAGTTAATTGATAACCTTAGGTGCGTTCCGTATCGCGCATGATGTGCATGATGCATCCAGTGTCCTTGTTTAACATTTGGTGAGCAACAAGGATAAACGATGCATTATGCGCATCATGCGAGAAACGGAACGGACCCCTTGTTATACATTTATCCGCAAAAGAAGCGGTACATTGAAAATTTAGGAAAGTTTACCATATATTAAATGATTATAACTTGGTAAATAATGAAGATAGAAATATGTTAAAAAATGTTAAATGCTTGAAGTGTCCATTTAAAAAAATATTTGAATAAGAATTGTACTGGGCCATTATTTTCAAAATGGCAGATGACGGAATAAGAAGATGCAAAATTGATAATCAAAGGTCCAAGATGTGACGATGCATGGCGTAAATCAAGTGTTGCAGCCTAATGTGACAAAATGTACATGAAAATATGGAATTTTATCTTAAAATGTTTTTTTTATGAAGTTCGATACAGTCATTTTTCGCTGTGTTATTCTAAATTTAAGATACCGTTGTCATTGGTTCTAGTTATGGTTGTAAACACAGTGTGTTATATTACAGTTACCCTGTTTTGCTGACATTTCATGTTACATGTACATTACATGTAACATTGTGTTTGCTGGGATGCATCTCATGTATGCGCGCATTCATTATTTCATTCACGCACATGTATACACGCGCACGCACACACACAAAATAAGATTCAATTCCGATGTAGGGATGAATTACAACCATTACTTGAGCTAATGATTGCGGTACCTTAAATTTGGAACAATTCAGCGAAAACGATCTTATCGAACTCCGTAACAAAGCATTTTAAACATAAAATTCCATACTTTCATGTAATTTTGTCCCATTAGGCTGCGACACCCGATTCACACCATATCGGACCTTTGATTGTCAATTTCACATCTTTTCATTGTCATCTGCCATTTTGAAAATAATGGCTCAATATAATTCTTATTCAAATATTCTTAAAGTGAACACTTCAAGCTTCATTTTACATTTTTAAATTTATTTTTATCTTTATTATTTACCAAGTTATGATCATTTGAAGTTTGGTAAATTTTTCCTAAATTTTCAATGTACTACTTTTTTGCGTACGTCATCACAAAAACTGATTTTATTTTTAGTGGCAAGAGCTAGTAAAATTTTATCGTTTTTCATTCTTAACTTTTATTTATATAGTGAAATTTTCTATTTTCATCATAAATATATGAATTAAGCCAATTGTGTAGTAAAGATTTTTTATCTTATTATTTTTTTTAAAGAAAAAGCGATAGAATTTTACAATAGAATACATATATGTATATATGTGAGGTATATAATTAAATTGTAAATAATTATTGATAAAACTTTTTATGAAGAACGCATATATGTTACAATATACATATTATTTTTTTCCAGCTATAATAATACCATCATATTTTTGCTGGAACCATTTCATGGCATCTTCTTTGGTAAGACGGTGTTGAAAACCAACCTTACCAGTTTTTCTTCTTCTGTGTGCTACGTTAAATCCTGTAAATAAAAAATACACATTTAATAACATATATACATTCATATATAAAGTATAGAACTTCTAACTCATTTCTCTTCTAACTCATATCCAGTATTCAGTTATCCGACGAATAATTATTTGTTGCATTTCTAATCGAGATCTTTTAATTAAATATTAAAATATTTATATATGCTAAACACTGTAACGTAAGCATAACAAATATTTTAATATAACAAATATTTTAATAAACAAAAAACACATAAGGGGATGCTAAACAGATTACCCAACTCGATCAAGGTCGATAGTACAGACTTTTTTAATTCCAAATTCGATAATAGTGGTGACATCTTTGATTTAGTTTTTACATTATATTATATAATATATATTATTCTGTCTTACTTCAAACGCATGCATCTGTTCTTATCTAACATATGCCAACACCATCTATCGCAAGACCGCGCAACTACTGCTACACGGAATTTCGGCTCTGTTGACAGTCCCAGTCTTCGCAAAGCACCTGTATACACGTATTTTCTATTCGGTGGAAATATTTCTTTCAATCATAGTTCTACAAACTCGGTATCGTTCGTTTCAATAATGTGACCTCAGCTGCACGCTTATTTTCAAGATATGGACTCTAAAACTCTTATATCAAGCAAATATATATCTGAGGTGACAGCTGTACGAGCTAAAAGTAAGTGAATTTTTAACGAATTTTAAACTTTTTTTCGATTTTCTCATGAAGTTACAGTGCAGCTGAGGTCCTGTTTGTGCGTACTTTAATTTAAGCAATAATACTTTTGCAATCCGTACATCCAATACAGAGATTTTTCACCGAATAAAAATGTGCTAAAACAGGAGGCTTTAGCATCGCCATAAGGGCTAATGAGAGATTTTGCGCAGTTGTTGGTGCGAAAATAAAAATCGTTTCGACAATAAACGATTTTTATTTTCGCACCAACAACCGCGCAAAAAACTCTCATTAGCCCTTATTTGTTTTTTGTTTTTTGACATTCTCGAGAGTTTAGTTACTTGTTTTATTTTAATATTTTAATATTTAATTAAAAGGTCGCGATTAGGAATGCAACAAATAATGGTTCGTCGGATAATTGAATACCGGATATGCAACGGATAATGATTTGATGGATAATCGGATACCGGATCTTATCTGATAAAGCTTACCGGATAACTAAATTTTATTCGACAAAACCAGATAAGACGGATAATCGGATATTATCTGAAAATTGCTCAGAGATTAAAAAATGAAAAATCTATTGTTTTTTCACAATAAAACAAAAATTTTTTTAATGTAAATATTATAAGTTAAGCTATAAAGATTTAATATTTACACAGAAGAGACAGATTATTGTCTGATAATGCAAAAATGTTGATATTTCTTACGAAAAAATACTTAAAAAAATATGTAACAAAAATAATTTACAAAGAATAAAGATATAAAAAATTATTTCAATTTAATTTTTAAATTATATTACATTATATATGTTAATATTGAAACATTAATAAAAGAATATGTAGTTTATAAATTGGCCACATATACATATCATAAAATATTTTGAAAATTAAAATATTTTTTAATATGTATAATTATTTCTATCCAAATTGTGGAAAATGATTTTTTTATAACCCGATTGGACAGCTAAATTATCCAGCCAGATAGCTGGATTGTAAAAACCTGGTCAGATAGGCCAGATACTGGATAAGTACTGAATATCCGTTGCATCTCTAATCTCATACAATTAAGTAACCATTTAGTAAAATGAAACAGACATGGTTCTCACAAATATGAAATATTTCCTAACACATTTAAAAATATAAATTAAATATATTTTACCACAAAATAAAGATATCTATTATGTACATATACATATATATATATATATATATATTCTTTCTCAAATCAGCCACCTGCCTGCGCATTTTATTTTTAAAGATAAAATTTTTTTCGAAGCGTCAAAATTTCCGCCTAAAAACCGGCGACGAATAAGCCGCGACAATAACACGAGTGACGAAAGCCCTTTTTTCGCATCTAAGGACTTTTTTTTTAATGATTTAATTAGGATAAAAGATACTCGCGACCTAGATATGTCTTTTAAAAGTTCATGACATCAGCTAAAATCACGTACACACGTGTATTCGTCGCCGGTTGCTGGGGTCACGGGGGTACTCGAGGGCCTCGTACGCAACACTGAGCATTATTTTTAAAGTATGGTCACACCCATAAGAAGGAAATAAAAAACACCATACGGCATCAAAAAATTGAGGTTTAGGCGGAAATTTTGACGCTTCGAAAAAAATATCCAAGTACAACGTAGAAGTCTAAGCCATAGATACCAATACTAGGATCATATTTGATTCCCAAGTCAATGTGTTCTTGAATCCCGAAACCAAAGTTTCCAGTACCAGAAAAGTTTTCTTTCTTTAATTCATATTCCCGCACCTGTAATCAAATGACATATTAGTATTATAGTAGAAGTATAAATTATACATATCTAAAGATTCTTTGACTTTTTCACCTTTAGACCACGCTCCAGAATCTCTTCAGCTTTAGCGCCACGTACAGTACAATGTACAGCTATTTTTTCATTACGACGGATACCAAATGAACGTACTGTATACCGAGCTTTGGAAAACACTGGTTGCTGACCAGTCAGTTGTTCCAAGACCTATATGAAAGATTATTATAAGTTTAGAGGTTCTCAACTGTTAAAAATATTTTTATAAAAATAAAATCATACTTGTAAAATCTACCTTGGCAGCACGCGTCAAGCGATCACCAGACTCGCCTACACAGATATTTAAGCATAACTTCCGAATTCGGACTTCACGCATTATATTCTTGGATGCATCTTTTGGCTCCTTCTTTGGCTTCTTCTCGAGCTTTTTTTTGAATTTTTCTTCAGGGGCTTTTTTCGTATCCTAATTAATTCAAGCACAAATTATTAATCGATGTAGAATTGATTCTTAACCTAAGTACCACTTGACAAGTATCTATTAACGCGAATAAAATATATTTTTAATGAATTATTTATGTTGATACTAATTTATCGAAAGTTAAAAATAAATGACTCAACAAATTTCATTGTTGTGCAAATGTGTTAATGACAATGACAATATGTCATGAATGCAAAACACAAGCGTGAAATCTCGTCCACATGACAGGGACAACTGTTAAAATAGATGACTTTAAAAATTTAATATTCTCGATAATTTATAGTATTAGTTATGTCCACGTCACAGTGATATTTAATAAAATTAAATAATATAAAAAAATATAGAGATCAAGAGAAAAGTTAATTCTTTCAAGATTTGAGAGAGATGCAAAGAATATACACTTACCGCCATGTTAGAGAAGAGCAAGACAAGAGAAAAAAAGAGTAGCAGTAGACAGAACAGCTGACAGAACAGCGCAAGTGGCTATAAGCAGAAAGAAATCTGAGACTTGAGAATGGCCCTTTCAGCCTTTTTTGTTGACGTTCGAAGATCTTTGTATGTACACTAACGGCACAATATATTTTTATGAAAATTACGTATCACATTATCGACACTGCTGATAAAATAGTGTCGAAAATTGTGGTGCTTGTCCGTGCTACATCCATTATTCTTTGTACAGTATAAAATTTATTAAAATTTTTTCAAAATTTTTATAACACATTTTGTTTCACATCACGATTAAAATTGCAATAAATTTAACGATTGGAAAAATTAATTCAGAAGTATGCAGTTACACAGCGCAGTTTAAACATAAATATCATATATATTATCGTTATAAATTATAAAATATTAAAAAAGTTTAAATCATTTTTATTTTAAATTAATTCTGTTAAGTTCTGAAATTTTACTTCTTTTAAACAAATAAAAATAAATTTAAGCACATAAAAAAGAATTATAAAATTGTAAATATTTATTTATGATAGACGAAGAATGCTGCAACTTGTAAGAGAAACTGCAATATTAATATTTAAATATATTTATTGTTCAATTTGGAGGTATATGACATATCTCTACTTGCCATATAGATCTAAAACGATTACATAGCACCTTTAACAAAGGGCTTGTTGTAAACATATATGCTTGTCAAATGCATAGTAGTTGCCCGATCGAACAAATCATGGCGAATTGTACCACGTGATTAATGAAAATAAGCTTACGAAATTCAAGTACACGTGCCAGCATAAATATATATCACAATTCAAAATGAAATCTCGGATATCAAACAAAAATTTTACGTTTACTAAGGCCTCTCTCTCTCTCTCAATCTCGTTATATGTATATAGTCCATCAGACATTAGTATACACAATCACGTAATAATACACAACTCTTTTTATTCTTAGCTATACAACAATTGCACATTTCTCGAGGAAATATCGTTCATTGATACCGTTCTTTAAACGTAATTATGAAAATTAATTTATTTGTTGCTTTCTGATATATAATTGTGTTTCCTTCTGTTTAATATGAAAACTGAATGTGAAATTAATTTGTTCGGGTAATTTATTTAAAATATAGATTGTAATCACCCGAACAAATTTACGCAGAAAATTTTTTATTTTTACATTAAATTTACTCGTTATGCCTTATCTGGCGCACTCTTTATAGTTTCTATCAGTTTCTAGAAAACCACAATCATTTTTCCTTATTCCCAATATCCTTCGTTGTTCATTCCGTTAAAGAATCGTATGTACATTAATTTGATTTTATCGTAATGTTTATCAAAACAATGCAGTTCTTCGATCATGCTCAAGAAAATTAATCTATTGATTTGTGTGACAGTCACGTATCATTCTTTCATTTTAGTGAAAACTGAATGTAAAATTGGTTTGGATAATCTATTTTATTGTGTAAAAATCTGTTGAATAAATGATGTTGATAAATTACGCTGTAAAATTTATTTTCATATTACGTTTCGTACCTCTTTTTACTCTTATACATATTTTATACCTTATTTTGCGTAATGCGTTTTCTCTATTAATTCCATCTGTTTTCATAAGAAATCAACGCGAATCTATGTCCTAATGCTTTCCATTATTCATTCTGTTAAATAGTTGCGCATTCATGCAATTTTACCATAATTATACATTATACTGATATTTGATCCTTATTAACGTCCTTATTATATCATAACAATGAAGATATGGTAATATTTCTTATTCAAGAGAGAAATCTACGCAAACGTATCGCAATAAAAAAAAAAACAGATTCTTAATGCTAAAATTTTCCTCTATCGAATGGTATACGTAATTGCCAATTCTTTTGAAAATAGAACATGTATAAAATTGTTTTATTCCAGCCTAAAAAACCGAACGAACTTATTTGCCAACACAATACAAAGCATGATTGTAATAAAACATATGTCATTTCGCTTCGTCAATCGCTCTATTTACAGTACATACGCAGCCATTCCACTGCGATTTCTTTCCGGCTAGCTCTAGGCCTCTCGAATGATTAGAACAATGCAGGGAGATGTCGGCGGAAATACAAACGAGGTAGGATAGCTACACAACGTTACTTTCCAATTTAATTTATTAATTTGTACGTCTATGTACAAAGCTGCATCGAGCTAAACACTCTTCTCTATAATACACATTACATGTCCTTTTATATAAGACTCAGACCCATTTGCAGGAAACGAAATTGCAATAAATTACAAAGTTACGCGAAAGAAATCGCTAAGGAAAAAAAGAATGAATGTGAGACGCTTTTTATCGCCCCGCTGCATTTCATTCAACTATGTACAGTACATATTTATAAATCAACGCTAAATGCACAATCTTCCGCGTGCAAAGACTGACAATAGCATTTACGATACTACTACGATTACTCGTCGTCACCAAGCGTACGCTAAAGAAAATAAATAAGCACCAAAATTTGACTTTGTGCTAAATTACGTAAAATAATGCATTTATAGTACGTTGCACCATTCTCAGCGTCCTCCCTGACCTTTGTATACTAATTGTTTACATTGTATTGGTAATAACAACTCTCCAGCCATTAGCTACAAATTTCGAATACACGATATTTTAATTTCATTATAACTACTTTGCCATTATAGTTGCCTTAATTTGGTTTTTTTTGTTTCTGTTTCTTCATATGTATTATTGAAAATATATTTCAATCTTTAACTATGTAAGAATATGAACTGCACTAAATAATCTGTACATCTTATAATATTGAGCGAAGTGTTTCAAAGTGTAAAAATTATTTGATTTATCAAATTTACGCGAAAAAATGTTAATATTTATCAATTATAATAAATTGATATAGTATGTACTCACTCGCAAAAATATGGACCATTGTATTGATACATATTTTTTGCGATATTAATAAAAATAAAAAATAAATAAACTAAAATTAAAAGCTACAGCTTTTTACAGTTTGAGTAGTTTTACTATTATACACATATATTATATATTCTTTTATAAAAATTATACTTAAATATGTTGTTAATCTCTTTTGATTTTTAAAAAAGAAATTATATACTAAAGAAAAAAAAATTTATTAAATAAAAAGTTTATATCGATTTTCATATGTACTTCTAATTTAACGTAACAAAAAAAAACTGATGATTTATATAATCAATTATACTATATGTCTTGCTTCCTAAATTTTTACGTCACTAAATATAATACGTAAATATTACAACTAGCAGTCCATAGATACATAGTCGAAGATCTTAATATACAATCACAAATTAAAATAATCTTTCGTCTTCATTTGAGCTAATAGTGTTTACAGATGTCTCTTCACTTATTACAAACTATCAAAAAACCCAGCCTTCTGTATCTATCCCGCTCTTAATTCATTATAAATTTTAAAATAAAATATAAAATGTATAATAAATTCGCTGTACAGAGTATATTCCGCCCTTCTATATTTGTCTCACAATTTAAGTCAAGAATTTTAGGATAAAACTTAAAATACAATATTTATTATATAGAATATTTAGCTCTGATTTATCTTATTAACATTAACACCTTCATGATTATTTACAGCGATTCATCACATTAGATTCAAAAATTGTTGTACGAATTAGCGAATACATCCAAGTCTAGACAATCAATAATACTGGCGACAGAAGCATATCGTGTACTCAAGTAATGCCGCATGAATCGAAATTTTCAGGTAATAAAAAAAAACGAGCTTTTTTTGCGAAATATGTTAAAAAATAATTCGCTGGAATTGATTGATTTGTCCCCTATTCCATTACAGATTCTACAAAATATTCACAATAAGCCACCTTTACGACCAAAAAGAAGCGAGCTTATTGCTCCCAATGCCGACTGTTTGGATTCTTTAGTTACAGGCGTCGGAATTGGTGGCCTAACTCTACCCAGATCGGGCCTCGTCGCTCTAGCACCCGATCGTCGTTGTCGATCCGGTGACTGGCCCGTTGCTCTCGAGTTAAATGCATTGGAACCAGACACACTTGGTTCAGGCTCCTTGCTGTCATCTTGTTTACCCGGCAATAATGATGATTTGTTCGGCGGAAATTCGTCACTAGTGGAGGATGTTGAAGACGAAGGAGATATTAACTTCTCTTGGCTGGTACTGGAGGACATCGAAGTTTTGAGGAAAGTCAATTGTGCCATTGGACTTCCAGTCGAACGACGCGTATACAAAGCACCTTGTAGAGCTAACGGCGAAATTGACGAGCTGGCTGTAGTGGCTATGATTGTATCAATACCAATTCTCTCCAATTTCTCCACCAGACGTATCCCCGTAAGAGCTTTTTTGTCGGAGCGCGAAATCGTCGACTTTGGTCTTTTCTTCTTAACTTGCACTGGCGCTGGCGGCTCATAACTGAAAGTACGCCTCAGTAATTCCGCTCCGGTGCTGAGCAGTCCCAATGTCAACGAGGCGGCGCTCTCCGGTACTGGTGATGATGACCTTGTCGGTGACAGACTCGCATCTGGACTGTTGCACGGTGTAGCAGTCGGTGAAAAATTCCGATCGTCAGTAGGCGTGCCTATACACGAGGGCGTGACGGCTTTGATTCCTCTTTCGTTCAACATCTTAGCCAATCCAAGCGTAGTGGAAAACGTTGATGTTGAATTGCGACGACTGTGTGTACGAGGAGTGCTCATACCGGAGTTCATACCACTATTGGGCGCCGAAGCGACGCGACTACTAACGATGCTTGGCGTCACGCTGCTGGTAGTATGATCATCTGGATGCATTACGGTACTATTAGTAAAGGTGTAAATGGAGCCGGTGTCTTGGAACGGTTTACCAGGATTAGTGTACTCCTCATCTTCCTCCAAATCGCTCAACGTAAACGTTATGAGACCGAGATCTTCGAGAGCACGACCACCTCTAGTCTTTACGCCTGGTCTGTCTTCCAGCAATCCACCTAATGTTG